TCCTGAATCTCCCCAGTTGACCCTGGATCACAAATGTGTCTCCTTGAGCCATCATACATAATGTAGATGTTGTTAAAGGGCTCTGCCAACCCTGTTGGAGGTCCCACTTTATTCTTCATTAGCATTACATTAATCTTCTTCTAAGCTTCTAGGGAAAATAAGAACCCACAAGAGTAGCTTTTTTCCTTTCTGCAACATGAATTTATACACTTAGCACCATAAAATGCTAAGGAACCCTGTTGACAATCTTACTCAAACCTCCACCTGCCCAGAGATCCTCCTCAGAGCTTCCAGGTTGTTCCCTTCCCGAACAACTCTCTAACAAACTCACACTGCAGCCCTTCAGAGACCAACTTTCACTCTCCTCCCAGGGTACCAGTGAACATCTTATCAATGATGTACCTCCACCAGGAATGAAATTTGATAAGAAAGGAGATACCAAATTTAAGAGGGAAAATAAACCTTAGTTTTGTGAAAGTACATTTCACTTTAAAACTTTCTCCTTCTGAAATAATACCATATGTGTCGAAAGTAAAAGCAAACCAAGGTTCTGGGTTCCATCAGGCAAACAAAAAAGCATATTCCTTTGTCGTCTCTGTTCCTTAGAACAAATGTGTGTGCATCTTCTCTAGTGAGAATGAACTTCAGTGGTTGTCAGACATCCAAACTGAACATGGTCTATCCTGTGCAGCTTCCATGTCTAATGTATCAGAGGTGGATTGCATAGGAAATGATAGGAGACTTCTATTCAAGCTCCTTCCTCATCATATTTTCTAATCACCTGTTTTATAAAATTTACATTTTTATTCAATAAAGCACACTATTAATATAACACAGCAATACTTCGTGTAACGAGATAATGACAAAAGATAAATAAATGCAATTATCATTAGTACAAAAACTGTAGAACAAACATAATTAAAACTATGTTTCAAGCCAGGGAGTTAGAATGAAATATACCAGATCAGTTCACAAAGATTGCCTTTTAACCTTGGTTTGTTTTAAGGCAGGTGTACGTGCATACCAGAGAAGTTTAATTGTATAGGTGCATACTAGTGGAGTTTAATTGTGTATGTGCATACCAGTAGAGTTTAATCTGTGCCACTCATTACCTCTACTGAGTACCTGCTAGGTCTGAGGTCTTGAGAGGGTGTGTTATCTATTTTAATTTCATGGCCACTCTGTAAGTTACTCTACTCATCTTGTAGAGGAAATTAAAAGTTTGGGAGGCAAATTAACAATGGCCAAGATCACTTAGCCTTAGCTTATGTCTTCACAGAAGTCAGGTCTTCGTATTCACTCTGACTTTCTTTGTTTGGGGTATAAATACTTAAATTTAGTGGCCTTTTTTTATTGGCACTAATGACTATTTTACTAACTGCTAGTTGAATTTTTTCTCGCTTGTGTTGTTTGTATGCACAGACTGTTTGTAACTTTCTATTCCATCTGTCCAGGAAATATCCCACCCCCGGACCACCCCCAAAAATAAATAAAATAAAATTTTCTAAGATGTGTTTTCCCAAAACGACAGGTGACAGTATCTAAGTCCTCCCTACAACCTTTGACAAAACGCTCTTCATTTTTACCCCAATACCTATAAATGAACCTGTTATTGTGGCCATGGAATAGATCTAAACAACTGGCTCTGAAAAGCCCCGTGAAGGACGGTTGTGCTGTTAATATTCTTGTTTGACCATTTTAGTAGTGTTCTGAATATGTAACTCTCATTGCCACAACATAAGAAACTTTTAATAGTAAAAGGAGCACAATTTGTTATCAAAGAGTCCACAGGGTTTTGACTCTGTAGTTGATTGCCAGGGAGAAGCAGACAAGATGTCCAGCAGGTGGCACAGCGTCAACACTCAGTGTCCTTGTGTTCAGAGACAGATCCTTAAAGTTGGCTGAAAGTCTCAGAACAGATTTGCTTTATAATAGAGTATTTAAATATTTACCCAAGGTATTTAGTTTATTTTTAAATTTTATTTTAGGATCCAACAATTTTGAATTCAAGTATCTTTGGGGCTTAAATGTTAATTTGTGATCCACTTTTGTCTGCCTGCTATAGATTTATACTATGTATATATATTTAGCTTTTTCCCTCTTTTTTAAGTAAAAAAAAGCATATAAAACTTGAAAATATGACTTTAAATACTACAGAATTTTTAGTAAACATCTTGTAAATTTGCAGAACCAAGATTACTGCCATAGAACTGGGGGTAACTAGCACCACTGGTATCTTTTCAGCATCTGAATTGTACTCACAGCTAGGCAGACAACAGAAGCTCAGATCCACCAGTCATTCAGACAATTCAGATGAAAGCCACAGCGCAATGTAACTATTTGAATGTTTTCTGTAGGTACTTTGTTATCCTCCCCACACCAGTGTGTGTGTGTGTGTGTGTGTGTGTGTGTGTGTGTGTGTGTGTGTTTAATCTAAGTGGAAACCGTGTTTAATTCTAAAGGTAGTCCCTCAGCTTTGATTACATTGGCAGCTTTACAAATCTTTTTGTCTCCAGATTTACGTGTAAAAGAAAAATAGCATCATATGGTAGTGAACTGCAAATGACTAAATGTCGTATATTGAGAAAAAACAGAAAGGATTTCAGCTCACACTTTGACATCTGTGGTATTTACTGAGAACAGGGCAAAGGATTACTGTCACTGTTGTGGAGCAAACCACTGCACTCAACTATGTTGCTAACATGACCTCTTCAAAAGATAAGACATTGAGTGACTGACGATATATCACTCAGTTTAAAGACCTTTGCTGTAGCAACATATGGCCATGGTAGAGAATGTAACTGCCTTTGAAATTTGTGTCCAAGTACTGATTACTGCCTATCAATCAGAGTCAGTGACAACACTGGGCTGCAGTGTCTTTGGTTTTCATAAGCTCCACATTGTAAGGACTTCATCATGTCTTTGAGCTACACTTGGTTTCTATAGCCCGCTGGACTGGGCTGGTTCTCAGATCAGGCCTTTAGTTCTCATTTTAGTTTTTAACCTTGATTATAATTCTTATCCTAATATTTTTCTCTCAGGGAACTTTCTATGAAAAATGATACCCCCATTCTTAGCCTCAAGAGTAGCCTTAGGATCTGGGATCATCTTCTAAAACTAGATAGTGACAAACTAAGCGGGTAACAAATTAATAATGCTCAAAAAAAAATCCTCTCTTTTCTATCCAATACACACACTCTATTTCCCTAGTGGAAAAGTGGTACAGAATTGATAACCATGAGAATCACTTGAAATGCGATATACTGTTCATAACTATCAAAAAGGGGGGTCTGGAAAAAGTGATTCAGTGGATAAAAAGCAGCACAAGATTGGGGACCTGAGTTCAGACCCCCAGCCCACACGTAGAAGCCTGTCTTAGTAAGATACATCTGTAATCACTGTATGTTGGGGAGAAGAAACTGAAGGGTCCCTGGGGCTCTCTGGCTATTCAGCCTTGCCATAAAGGTCTAGTCTCTAAGAATGGTCTAGTCTCTAAGAATGGTCTAGTCTCTAAGGATGGTCTAGTCTCTCTCTAAGAATGGTCTAGTCTCTCTCTAAGAATGGTCTAGTCTCTAAGAATGGTCTAGTCTCTAAGCTTCTATTTGAACGAAGACTTTATTGGCCATATCCATTTATTCAAACAACCAAAAGCACTGTCTTCGTCCCACAGTTAGAGCACAGTGAATTGAAGTACTGTATAGAGCATCGTGAGCACCAAGAACTTCAAAGACAAGTGGGTTCTATTAACTGAGTACATGATCTTCAGGCTGGATGTTCTGTCTACCAGCTAGAATGTGCAGGCTCAAACAGGCTGTGAATAACCTGAATAACATTTCTAGAAATTTCCAGATGCCCTAACACTATTCCTGAAGAGTTCAGCCCATGAGGTAAGACCCAGGAGCATTATATAACATAAAAACAACAACAACAAACAAACCTTTCCCTTGAGGAGGAGCCCTTGTGAGAGTTAGTAAACTAATGATGTCCTGAGATGTAATCTTAATAGCTCCAAAGGTATTGTGGGCAAACGTTTCGGGCACATAGTGTTTTCTTCAGGGTTTACTGTCTGTGTCTGTGCACTTACAGCATCTCATTCGATATAACTGGAAGTGAAATCAAACTTGCATGTTTAGTGATGTGTGTTGCCATTTTACATGCTTTAGCTGATGAGGAAAAACTCACAAGAGTGTACTGAGGAGGATTCTTGTTTGCACTCCAGTCCTCAACTTTGTAAGCACTGAGTGTGTGGTCATGTGAGGTCAGTCTCAGAACAGCAGCAAAACTCCAGTGTAACTTTAGGGAGTGGACGGTTATTACTGTTTAGACTTTTTAAAAGCTAAAAACACTGTGTCAAAAAAAAATCCAGCAAAAATAATTGGAAATAAAAGCAAAGCAATTCTAGACTCAGAAGTCCCATGAAGTCATCTCTATCCCTTTTGCCAGCAAAAGGTCTTTTTAAAACATGTTCTCAGGATCCTTGCCAGTCTCAGCATCAGCTGCCCCAACAATGGGGCATCCGTCATCTCCCTGGCAAAACCCCTCCAAGTTTAGCAAGCCAATGGCCTTTGACCTGAATTTCTCAGGAAATATAATCCCAGCAGTAGGAGTACACTGCATTTGATTTCTGTTAAATTCAGTCGCTTAACAAATTTACTTTGTTGGATCTTCTGAATCTGGAGGCAGAATTTGCATAGGTTAGTTTAAATTCTTTTAATATGCACTATTTTAAGTCACTTTTCCTTCCTAAATCTTAATTTAACAAAACCAGCCCTCTCCAGTGAGCAGGAGGCTGAAAACACTCCCCAAAGGTAGCCACATAAGGGTCGTGTTTTATTAAAGAACCAATGAGGTTTCTTTAGTCCTGGTAAAAGTATCAATAGGATCGGCCTGTGTACGGACTGGATCTCCGAGTTACAGAGACATTATGAATTCCCTGGGTGATTTATTTTATTTTTTTCCATTTTACCAATTTAACACATAGCGGATCCAACTGTGTCCAGGACAGCATCATAAGGGGGAAAGTCAGGCAGCAAGGCTCTGCCGCATGTTCTCTGCCCTCCTTGAAGTCTGAGGGGAGTGTAGGACAGCTAGCAGGAAAAATGAGCTCATATTCAGCCTGGGAAAGCTGCAACAGAGCCCTTCCTCCTGCTCTGCATGAAATGAGCCCCAAGCAGCGTGAAATCCCTGACCGCAGGTGTGGAGACGCGCTGTGACATAAATATCTTTGCTGCTTAGCAGTTGGAGGATGGCTGTGGGAAGATTTGTCACGAGCTTCCCTAGCCAAGTGTGGCTTTCTAAAGAAATGGTCAGTTTTGGTCCATGACTGCCAAGGCTTGAATCCCACTCCAACTCCCAAATAAAGGACTCATAAAGCAGAGACAGAGCAAGGTGCAGGTAAGGAGGGCTCAGGACTTCTTATCCAGAGAAGAAAAGGAAGGGGAAAAGGCAGACAGCAAACTGGAGTGGTTGAAAGTAAGCATTTAAATTCTTTTGTGGGCAAAAATAAAAACACTTTCATCAACAAATGCATAGGTAAAGGCTAAATTATATGTATAGGACAAAATTAATAAGAAAATACAAATACACACTATAAAGCAATTGAGAATGTAAGGAGAAGTCTGAATAAAAAATTTCCCACTCCCCTCCCAATGAATGGGACACATAAATTAATGTAGTAAATATACTATAATTGCTTATTGATCCAGAAAACTTACTTTATTTCATCTTTTTTTTTTTAGTTGTAACAGCCAACCTTACCTCAGGTTATGCCACACAATTACAATTTTTTAACATTTTCTTCATTTTGGTTGGTATTGGGTAATTTTTCTTAGTTTACTCATTTCTGGATCATTTTGTGTTTACTTTATTATGAGTGTAAGCAGGATTCTATATTAGTTTTTTTTTTTTTTTGATTTTTCGAGACAGGGTTTCTCTGAAGTTTTTGGAGCCTGTCCTGGAACTAGCTCTTGTAGACCAGACTGGTCTCGAACTCACAGAGATCCTCCTGCCTCTGCCTCCCAAGTGCTGGGATTAAAGGCATGCGCCACCACTGCCCGGCTTCTATATTAGTTTTAATAAAATTAAAAGTTATTGTGTATTTTAAGGAGAATAGATCCCAAAAATGTTCATTGTTATAATTGATATTTTCTTTTTAAATTTTCTTGTAGATTTTCTGATTTCCATTTGTTTTATTTGTTATTCCACATATTCCATTGTTTAATTTTAATTTTCCCAAAATATTAAAGGCAGGAACCCTCCAGCAATTATTTAGTACTATAAGTGTAAATAGATCTTTAATAGGGAAAACCACAAATAATAACAACAAATGTGGGAACAAGTCATCCCCCTCCACCTTCAGACCCTCAGTTTCAATTCTCATGCTCTTTGATCCATATATATATATATATATATATATATATATATATATATATTCAGTACTCATTTTGATGTTTCATTCACAAAGCTAGAATTTGGTTTTGTCCCTCTGGAGCTTATAATCAAAAGTGGTATTACTGGGTCTTGAGGAAGGTTGTTTCCTAATTTTTTGAGAATTCGCCACACTGACATCCAAAGGGGCTGTACCAGCCTGCACTCCCACCAGCAATGCAGAAGTGTTCCCTTTACCCCACAACTTCTGCAGTATAAGTTGTCATCAGAGTTTTTGATCTTGGCCATTTTTACAGATGTAAGATAGAATCTCAGAGTTGTCTTGATTTGCATTTCTCTTATAACTAAGGATGTTAAATAGGAAAAGATTTCCTATTCTTCACTAATCACATCAGACAGAGGTCTGATCTCCAAAATATACAAGGAATTCAAGAAATTGGTCAGCAAAAGAACAAATAATCTAATAAAAAATGGAGTACAGACCTAAACAGAGAACTCTTAACAGAGGAATCTAAAATGGAAAGACACTTTAAGGAAATGTTCAACACCCCCCAATTCTTAATTACCCCAACCTTTTAAGAAATTCTTCTTTACAGAATAAAGTTTCACTTAACATCCTGATAATGCTATGTTAATGAGTTCTTAATTACAACTATGTCAATTCTAATTAATTCAAAAATAAATACATTAAAGGTAAGAGTTAAGCATCCCACCTGTAACCACACAATGCTAACTTAAATATAAATGTAAAAAAAATCAATTTGTACATTTCCACTTTATTTTCAGGAGAAACTTTTCTCCAATGACATTCAAATAACTTTCAGGAAATCCGTGAGTTTTCTTTGATGAGACTCATTTGGGGACCTTCACAATTTCAAGGTCAGCAGATCTTAAGCAAAGAATGCTTACTTCTTCTAAGAGGTTCATGAGGGTTATTCATGTGGATGTCTATGCTAGGGACCACTGAAGAATCACTAGCCTAACTAAAGAATCGTTATTCTTCTAGAATTGGATTTTCCACCAATCAGACATTTAGGAAGTTTAAAATCATCCAAGGGATGTATGCAAAGTATAGGGAGTTGTATAAGATGCTTTTAGTAGCATCAGTAATCCCATTTGTCTCTGTAGATTGAGAGGCTGTGTCCCCTATGCCCATGGACAGTCCTAATTTTCCCAATCAGAAACTTTGCCCTGCAACACCTGTGTGACTAATCGCCATCTGGGCTCTCTGGAGCCTTGCTTAGAGCAGAGCATGTCACACATCTCTAGTGAATTTTAAAATACGACACTTGTGGATGATCTTCAACATTCTGTATTTTAAGGAAATTATAGACCTCCTGTCCAATATGTTACATTAATCCACCAAAATAAATTTGACCCAGCACTTTTGTATGCTGGGGCATTAAAGTTAAATTAAAAGGTGGAAATAATCATGTAATGAATGTAGTTTCCAACAACGAAGACAAAATGCTGGTCAACCTGCTGAGTGTTCAGATAACCTGGCAGTCAGGAAAGAAGATGTAGTCTTGATTATTTTTATTTGTAAAAACAATAAAGTGGAAGTGTTTTGATTTTATAAATTCAAAATCTCTGTCTGCACAGGCTTCCTATTGGGAATCCCTTCACCTCTCTGTGTGCTTCCTTGCTTCCATAATACAGCATGATTGTGTTACCCTACTTCCTAATTGAGAATAATATAAAAGAGTTGTTGTCCGAACTTAACTTTTAAAATAAAAATAATAGTCAAAAGGCCTTTTAGTATACATGTGTTCAATTTGGCTACCCAACTTGCTGAGAGAACCTGCTGTAAAGGGGACACTGATAAAGAGCCTTGGAAACAAGGCCTGTGTTTACCCTGTAAAGATACAGAAACGCTTATTTATGAGTCAAAGGGTAGCACAAATTGAACTGTTATTTGAAATACGAAGGGGAAATTTGCACTTTATTGTGCCAGCTTCCCAGGGACTATTCAAAATGGAATGGCAATCACTGATGTGCTCAGACCTATGTCTACTTTCTATTACCCCATTTATTCATTGTGCAAAAACTAACACCTAACGTTTTACTTCCTTAAAACTGTGCCTTGGATCTATATTTTAATAAGCATCATATGACTCCCAGATATAGGACATTAAAGCATGAAATTAGAAAACAAATTAAAACATCCCTGATACACATCAGATAAGTGTTTTAAAATTGAATGAGGCAAAAATTTTTCTATTTTATTTAAAAAGGGATTATTAACTCTACAATAAAAAATTGACTATGTTAACAAGAAATATAATGTGTTAGATCCCTAGAGTCATAAATACACCGCATAATAGATATTTTTAAAATATGAGAACCCATTATGAAAATTTTTACTTGTGAGATTTTTAGTATCAGAATATTTCTGCTTCAAAAGGCACTAATCACATTATCAAACTATCTAATTAGATTAGAAACTGGCTTTCTACCACCTATTAATTGGGAATTTTTCCTAAATTCTACTTTGATATTGTGGCTCAGATTTACAAAAATAAAATCAATTTTTAGGTTTTAAAAAGTAATCTGTAGGGGTTATGCTTCATGATGGAGCGCTTTTCCTGCAAGGGCCACGCACTCTGTTCAGTTTTCAGCCTTGACAAATAGATAGATTGATGATAGATAGATAGATAGATAGATAGATAGATAGATAGATGATAGATAGATGATTGATAGATAGATAGATAGATAGATAGATAGATAGATAGATAGATAGATAGATGATAGATGGATAGATATAGTCACTGTTAGAAAAAATGAAAAAAGAAATCTATTTTCCAGGACTTTCTTTTGTTGTTGTTGTTGTTGTTGAGCCAGGACATGATGTTGCCTCTGGTCTCAGGCTCACTATGGAGACACTTAAATGTTTTTCTGAGACACTCTATGTTCCTGCACAAAAGTGGGGTGAATATGAAGCAAACACATGAATGTCATAGCCCTTGTGAAAGGTGACATCTAGAATGAGATGGGCATTCACATTATATTATCAGAAAGAAAACTCAAAGCAAAATTTTAAGATTATAAGTGTCTGAAAAGGAAGTGCATTAACAGCTTGACAACTGTATTCTCTGTGTCAAAGTGAGCAGTGCTGTGGACCCACAGGCCCGGCATAGTCACTGAAAATGTTCAGCTTAGTAACATGTAGTAATATGGCAGAGTCATCTATATTTCCCAACCATCTGTCTATAAACTGAACAAAAGGGCCAGAAACTAACTGAAAAGACATTGATTTTTCTCCATCTTTGCTAATTTTTTCTTCTGAAAGTGTTGCCATCGACATAGACAATAAAACTTTTTTTAAAACATGTCAGTTATACTTGGCTCTTTACTTAATTGCATACATTTTCCGTAGCAACATGGGGAGATTTATAGAACACAAGACAAGGTGAATGAGTTGAAGACATCCCAAATTGTTCTTGGCTATGCCTTAAATGAACTTAGTTCTCTGTATAAACTTCTCAAGTCCTTTGTGATCTGCTTTATTTACTCAAAGGGAAAATTTGGAAGGAACTGTAGAAGTAATTACCTTTAGCTATAAAAATGTAAAATGTTCACCATTTTAAGATAATTTCTTTACACTTTAAAGTTTCTGCAAACGGGCCAGTTAGCAGGTGAATGCTCCTTCAGCTAAGCCTGAGACGTGAGGTCTGTGTCCAGGGACACATAGTAGATGATTTCACTACAGTGAACAACCTAAGGTCCAAATCTACGCCTAAATATGATAACCTTGCAGTGTGTTCTGAGCAGTTAATTCTTGAATTATTACATATACAAAACCTTAAA